AGCGCCACCTCGCCTGGGCCCCGGGGGGCGTTTCTGGTGTGCGAGGGGGGCAGCGCAGGCACCGCTGCCGGGCTCCGTGCACCACAGGGTTGGGTGGGCGAACAGCACGCGATTGAGGGTGTCAGATTAAAGGTTTCCGGTCTAGCCTGGGTCCTACACCACCCGTGTACAGTAATGACACATTCCCCAGAAGGTTAGTAATTTTTTCAACGTTTTCATGCTTCTGCATAGGAAGTACAAATTCATCAGGAGGCTGTAAGCCATCTGTCAAAACAAGCCAGCAACTTCACCTCTGGCTACTTTGTGCAGGGCGCTGGTGTCCTTTTTCCATTTAAGTCTGCCCATCAAAATACTTGGCTAATTTTAGAAGCCTTCTAAAAATATATTTTCTAGACTATTTCTAGTTGAGTCTTTGCGCAGCTAGGGCAAAAAAGAGAACTGATAAGTTCCTTCCTTAGCCTCTAGACGTACTTTTCCAATATACCTTTTCCAAAACTGCTATAATTCCCTGACATCTGTATTTTCACTTGTGTTGTAGCCCCAGCTGATACTACAGGTATTGACATACGTTGTTTGATCATGATCAGGATGGGTTGGCTTGTACGCGTGACTCTCACATAATATTTTCTAGACCGATATAATGGAAATGCTCATAAGGTTAAAATTTCAGAATTTCCTTTATCAGCCATAGGTGTTATCCTGGCAAGGGATCAGATTAAAAGAAAACTGTATCGCCATGTTCTTTTTTTAGTCTTTTATTAGCCATTTCTTTCTTGAGGCTTAGCACAGCTGCATATGTATCTAAATATTTCATACTGACATAGCACTTGGTAAATATAGCCTACGTGTAGTTAAAGAGTGAATTCAGCAATGGCAGAAGAAAGATGGAAGTCATGGCAAAACCTCATGGCATGCAGGCATAACCTACAACACTGATGGATAACCATGTGGAGTTTTATTAGAAATAAGAGAAAGATGGAACAACACTATAACAGCATTGCAGACCTGCTTGCGTATCAACTTCTCCAAAGCAGAAGAATACCAAATAAATGATCACATTTACAAACTATCCAAAACAGAGATAAAGAGATTTGGATTTTAGTACACAATAATCATTGGGAATTCATACCTTTGGACTACATCCTCTGCCCCCCACCCCCAAAGCAATAATGCCATTGGTCCTTATAACATCTATGTCAAATGGATAAACACCGTGGACTAGTGACAATGATTTAACTTCTCCAGTTATTTAATATGCCTTCAACAACATACCATAATCCTTAAGTATGACAGCAAGCACATGCCACAGCACACCTAAAAATAGGAGGGAATGCCTTAGAGCTGATGAGCCACAGGCCTGTATCCATACCATGTCATAATTTCCAAATTATTTGAGTATCTCATCTTAAATCACTTGTCAGTATTTGATAAATGGCATTTATCAGAGAACAGGCAGGATTCCACCTGGAAATTTCAGTAGCAGTCACGTACTTAATTCAGTGCACTGAAGACGACTTTGAAAATTGTGTAACTGCTGCCACTGTGTTTGTAGACTAGCTGACAGTATATGACAGTGTATATCTTTCAAAGGATCCTTTGGTCATCATTTTATCCCTTTTTGGGGGAGTTCCTTTCTATGATCAACTATAACAAAATAACATTGGATTAGTATGCTCTTACTATCTCTAATAGAAAATCAAACAATTCTATTGTAGGCGAATCGTGAAAACAAGAAAATAACCTACCACTGTATTTATACATAGCTTTGTAATGTCTACAGGAATGATCAACCAATCCATTTTACTACAAGATGTTTTATCTATATTATCTGGAGTGTTACCTATGTATCGCCACCCAAAGTAAGGTCTTTGCCCATTACATTTCCTGTGTTTTTGGATTATTATATCAAAATCACTCACAAGTTACTCTGAACATGAAAATGAATCTCTTCCACATTTGAAATCCTAACTTAAAGTAAACTGGATTGAGTTTTATGCCTGGAATTGTGCTTGCCTACTGGAATTCAGTCTCTGTGGAAGAGAAACTTGGTCACTTTAAATCAGATGTAGAGAAAACAAAGTAGAAAACAGATGCCCAGAATAATATATTGAAGAAGCTCATAAATTCTAACAGAAGGGCCAATTCTCAGTTAACACTGAGAATTACCATACTTGCATTCAAGTATTTGGCACTCTAATATATATGCTTGATAGAGGGAAGTTGGTATCTGCAAAAAATTGAAAACGATGCTGAATGAAGGTTGCTAATGCCTTAGTGGATGCCTGAGCTTGACTGATAATGAGTAATCTATACGTCCTGCCACGATCACCCCATCAGAACTCAAAGAAAAAAATCAGAAGTTCAACAGATTAACCTGACACAGTGAGACTCGCTGTAGCCATGAGCAGACTATAAAGTCATGTAAATTTTTTCCTGCTGCAGGGGAACTGTTTAGAAGTTTACCAGTGTCTACACTACTGGAGATGTAGGTGTCCATAGATGTGATCAAGCAATGATTAAAAATGAGTCTAACTGCAATAACAAATTGGGTACAATGGACATCTTTGAATTACTAACAAGAGCCTGCTGGACAAATGAAATGTGCAAAAGGTGAATGGCAAAAACATGTAAATAATGCAGAATCACAGGCATGTGAAAATTAACTGATCTTCACAGTATGGAAAAAGGTGTGAAATGCTGAGGATTCATTTCAGATGCCCATTGTTCATGAAAGATAATCTAATTTTGTGAATATTTATTTGTAGGTTATATCAGACCATATAGATCTGAGACCGTGAACAGAAATTTCTTTCTTGTCACTTGCATTTGGACTGATTGAGAACATCCTTTACACACACACACAGACACAGACACACACACACATGCTATATATACATATACATACATACACATGTGAACAATCATATGTAACAAATTCAATGATTTTCTTTTCCAGAGTTCTAAGACTTTCTCTTTATGGAGTTCTGTGGGTATTTGCAGTTATGGAAAACCCTTACATAGATTCCACAACAAAGATTTAGCTTCTGTGGCTTGAAGCCAGAATGTTGCTATGGTCTTTTCTCAGATTAGTGCAATGTGCCTGTATTGGGTATTTGTAATGGTTCAGCTTTATTAGTTCAACTTACCCATGTAAAACATGGCTAGTATGAAGATCTATTTTTCACATTTGCCCTACAAGGTGGAAGAGTGTAACTTTATAAATTACAAAATAGCAGAAGAGAGTAATTTTGATAAATGTGTAATAATTTAAAAAAATCTTTGCACACTCATGTAGCAGATGGCTATCTATCCAACAATACAGAAGGCGCTTGCTGTAATGATAGGAAATTGATATATCCATTTGAAGGAGGAAAAACCTTTAATCTAAGTAGACTTATTATACGCCTATTTGGTAACTGTACTAGGTACAGTGGAAGCAGTTGCTCTGCAATGAAAGTTTAGTTAAAACACCTCCGTAGTGCCACTAAATATATTATGGAGGTCTAAGCAGAACACATGTTGCATCACTGCGTGAACTGAGTATACTGAAGTAGCCCTTATGATGCTGTATCTTTGATCCCATGGATGGGTAGTGCATGGCAACAATAAATAAGTTGTGATAAAGAAACAGCAGCAAAATTTTAAGTAGTTTCCTGTGTATCATGTTTGTAGTACCAGTCTAAAAGCGAATCCAACTGAATTCAACTAAAATGAGGCTGTATGTTGGAGACTGTGGAGAAACAGAGCTCTGAAACAGAAATGGGCTATCACGGTTTAAAGAACCTTTTCGTTACAGCTGCTCCCATTTCATCAAGGCTCCTTGCAGATGATGGTTTTATTAATTACCATCTTTTGACTTTTTCAGTTCTATAAAAGAAATAGCAAGCAGAAGACACAACACATTAGCACAATATGAGTAATATACTAAGTTCATGAAAAATTGCCCTGAAACTATAAAGGTGTCTTTTCTACATGCTTCATCTAATAGAAAGCAAAAGAAAAGCAAATGGAAGTCTTATGGGTTGGTGTCGATTCTATCAGAGGGCAGAAATACTATGCACAGCTTAGCTTAGCAGCTTGCTTGGACCAGGTGGTCAAGGATAAAAAAACAAAAACAAAAAAGGGAGACCTTCTTGCCAAGCCAGATAAGGGAGCACTAAGTATATATTTCATTTGTGTTCCTTGCTTAATTTCTTGTCTCCTTTCCTTATCTTCACACCTTGAGCCCAGGCAGAGCAGTGCTTCATTTCTTATGAGTAAAGCAGCCATCCAGCCATCCAAAACTCAGCTTAATGAAAATGCTATATCTCACCACAACATTCTCACCGTACACCACTTGAGGAAGTGCATTAGGAGCTTTCTGGATCGAAGTGTGAATTATAATTCTGCAATATTCTTATTTTCATTCAATTAGACAGTGTGGAATAGTTGGAACCACAAGTTTGTTTGTTAGTTGCCTTATAGCTTTCTGTAAAATAAAATTTTGAAGAAAATATTTCCAATTAACATTGCCTCTTTTTAATCCTGGAGGCTGCCAATGAAGAACATTCAGTTTCTTTGGGATATAATAACATCTCCATATGGTATATAGAGAGGAATTTGGGCCCAAATACAATGCTTTAGTCTCCAGTTATAAATATGAACTTTTGTTCAAACACAGAAAAATTAAAATGCTTTTCTATTTGCCATATTTCTGTTCATATATGTGCATCTACCTTGTAAAACTTTCATATGTAGTCTGTATATGTTGACCTTACTCTTAGAGCTGTTCCCACATTCTTGGGATACTTTAGCTTATACTATAACAAGATAGATTACTTTCCAGGAGACCTGAAGTAGCTGAGTACATGAGTTAACTTTTACACTGAAGAGCAACCCTTGGTGATACTGTACTGAAGAGTAACAAGGAGTACAGAGGATGTTTATTTACACATATCATTTTAAATTTTACTCGTTGGTTATTTTTGTATTTGTTATTCTCATTATTTCTATTCTTGCATTAGAATTTTCAGCAATCATGATATTTAGAAAAACATGTATTTTATTATCAGAATATATTCTAAGATATATTCATGCTTTTTAAAATGATAGGACAAAGGAAAGATGTGGCCATACTTTTAGCTAATGGATTATTAGCAACACTTTGATGAAGTTCTTTCTAATATATCTGTATAACATTTTATATTGCTTTATATTGGCATAATTACAAAGATGGAAACTACTGATGCCACCTATTGCTGAAAACATACATTGTAAAACCTTGCTACTTTTGGATATCTTCAAAGAAAAGGGCAATAGAGGAAAGTAACTATTGGAATAAAATCTTTCCAGCTACTGAAAGATGTTAGAGACAAGTCCCGATATGCTGACTGGGTTTCAGTCGCATTGAATTTCTGAACGTTGAGTCAGTGACTGTGTTGGCTGAGCCCGTAATGAGTAGTGACTCTCAGCATCTGCGATTTTGTGCTGGAACCTTTTTTGATGTTATATTTTTTATAAGGACTTTTGCTTTAAAATTAGTCTCAGTGATGATACTAGAAAAAACACCAATGAAAAGATTCAGTGAAAGTAAACTTATCTTTAACTCAGTGATGAGGAGGTATGTTGTATTTTGTGAAGAGCTCTGCGTAAGATGTAAACCAAGGACGTCAGCATCATATATGGCACAAACTCTGCCCTCTTCCTACATAGCAAAGTTATATAAGAGGGACCATGGATAGGTGCTTAGTTGCTGGCATAATGGGATGGTATGTCCTCAAGCATGATGGCTGGAAGTCATCTTCCCTATTCCTTACCATCTAAAAGTTAGGTGAAGTTAATGTGCTGCCTGAAGTACAGTAGCTGTTTCTTTCTTCAGTTCTCGGAGAAGACCCTATCTCTAGCACTGGTGGAAGAGGAACCCTGAACCTATAACCTTTTGCTTTGTCCCAAACCAGTTATGATTTCATTACTTGGAATCATGGAAATAAGAGGAGTTGTAGGTCTTTGTATATAAGTATGAACAAGTAGAGTATAGACCTTGACTCATTCCTCCTGAGGAAAGTTCAAATTTAAATTTGGCGCAGAGGAACCGGAAATGGTTTATCTTCTGCTGGTACTTGTCTCATCCTATAGAGTAAAGTGACATTGAAATGTTTTGAATGCATTACTGTCAGAATTTCTGTCTTATTATGATTTGATAACTTAAACTGAGAAATTAAAATCCTTTCAAGTTAAGAAATTCCTGAGAACGATGTGTTTGAAATAAATAAAAGAGCTTGTGAGGATAATTTAGCCACTTTGTGGCAGTATTTTTGAAGCCTTTGGAGGAACTCTGCACTACTCCCCCTCTTCATTGACAGTGAATGTGAGTGCTGTGCTTACATCACTCTGCTCTGCTTACCTTTGCAACAGCAGGCTGATCTACTCATCAGATTACACTTTCTGAAGAGTTGTTCGTAATGCTTTTGCACAGGCAGTTCCAGGTGCACAATTTACCCATGTTACACAGTAAGAATTCACCTTCTACTAAGTAAGCTTGATGAAAAACAAGATAGAGGACGTTTCTTGGTTGTTGAGCTTGTCATGTCTTCCACACAGTGAAAAGTCATGATGACTTTTTAGAAGTATCAATTAAACAATTTTTTAAATATACTTTCAGAAATACTTTTGTATTTGTATTAAGGCTAGAAGATTTTCAATTCTGTGTGATAACAGCTCTGTTACATTGCCATCTAAATCCTTTACAGATTCTGGAAAATCTGCAGAGCCACAAGCTCCTTTCATCTGGAACTGCATGCTTGTAGGAGAAGAAAACAAGCCAGTGAGGCTTTCATACAAGACCCAGTGTGGCAGAGTAAGTAGTCTGAGGCCTGCCTTGCTATTACCTGTCCAAACACCCTAAAACTGCTTCTTTCCAAAAGAACTGATGGGTAGTGATGAGAGCCACACTTTTAAAAGGAGCAGGAGAGCTCCCTCACGATACTAATCTGAAGTTCTTTGTTGTGTGTCTACCTCAAATTCCTGTTCTCCTATGATGGCCTTGCCAAAGAACTCTGGTGCGACCACTCCTCCTTCTGGGTCACTTACAATCCATCAAGTTATTCTCTCATGTTTCACTCCCTGTGGATTATGGACTTTTAGTGTTAACTTGTATCAGCCTAAATAGTTAAAAGTAAAACAAAGTGCACACCAGAAAATTAGAATGGTTGAAAATGTGTTCCTTCTTTCTCAAAGAAAGGAGCCAGCTGAAATCACAGTAAATGAATAAACTGATACCATGTACAACAAAGCAGCATAATAAAAATAAAATTATTTAAAGTAATATTCAAATCACACAGCCTTTATTGATTTAGATTCCAATTATACAGAGGTAATGGTATTAACAAACTACCTCATTCAGTTTGGTGAAAAAAAAAAAAAAATTGAAAGTTTTAATGTCCTGGAATCTGCAGATAATAAATGATGTGATCTGGACTCCATACCTGACTGGAATCCTCATTCTTCTTTTACCCAGGCATACTAGAATATAGGTATGTCTGATGAAGGATGTTTTTATGACCTTCTGGAGCCAAAACAATTTTAGAGTAATTCTAGAACGGGATAAACTGTTCCAGAATTAAATACTGAATTGAACTGAAATAGAACAAGGAGCTTATTCCAGATTTAATGACCCTGTACCTGTTGCAATTTAAAATTCAGTTTAGCTTCCATGACTTGAAAAGTCTGCAGCCTGCATTCCAGTCAGTATATTGGAAACAGTCTTAAAAGACTTAGTTTGTGACTTCAACTACTGAAGTATGTAGTTGAAGTTTGTAACTTTGTTATTATATAAATAAACATATTACAAAGAGTTTAAAGTACAGCATGTGTTTGGTAGTCAGGAGTCCATATCTGATATACTGTTAAACTCACCACCACCCTTTAAGCATTGGAATCCAGTTATGTCGTAGGTGTCATAGGTGTGCTGACCCAGCTCCTATCTGCCTACTTTTCCCTTTAAATTGCCAAGTGTTCACAGGAGCTCAGATAGCTTGAACATTTCGCAAACACACACTGTCATTGTTCTTGGATTTTTTATTGCTCCCACTCCCAAATACAGAAACTGTGAAAGCAAGAACAACGTCAAGGTGTTCTGATACAAAAGACAAGACAAGCATCTGGTAGAATATCTGCCCTGTCAAAGAATTTTAGGTTATTAGTGGTATCTGTAGAAATAGAATTAATAACTCAAATAGTTAGTAAACCATAATGTATTCATAATCCCTTTCTAGGAAAGACCTTTATCCTCTAACTCACCATTCTGTTTGTTCTCTGCTAATTAGGGGAAAACCGAGTTATTTCCTGTTCTGATTTTCAAAGAGGCAAGGAGGATCTGGCTGCTTCATTGCCACCCTTTTTCTTTTTTGAGATTTTCTTCTTGATAGTCACATGATGTGGGAGTATAATATGTTATTTCCTCCTTCAGCCTTCTGTCATGCCCATATATTTTGCTGACCCAGCAAGCAGTGCTCCCTTACCATCTTTAAAATACATGCAACCTGCTGACTCTATTCACACTGCTTAGAAAGATGTGCTCTTGGATCAGCCATACGCATAGGATGCTCTGCTTCTTGTCCACAGGGCTATTATGCAGACAGTCTGTAAACTATCTGTGATTGTCAGTGCAAGCCTGTCTTGACGTATCTGTTGGAGTGCTAACTCCCAAATGCGCTCAGATTTGTAAAGATGCAGGCGGACAGACTCCAGTTCTGCATGAGAAAGCTCTTACAGGCTCACTGCTTACTGGGCAGCATAGGTAATACCCAGAACAAGTTGCATAGATTTGCTCCCAGTGTAGATGTGTCCTCTTTGCCTCAGTGTGAAGGAAACATTCAGAAATGCAGAAACCATCGAGTCTGCTGTCAGATTTCTGTCGGTATTTTGTCTAGTTCTTTTTTTTTCCTTTCTTTAATTTAACTTCAGCTTCTGACTTCCGTCTCTTTGTCCTGTCTTAAATATGTCATGGTGTTACCACCCACTGCCCTCACACCTAATCATAGCTCTGTTTGTATGCTATAAGGAAAGTGTAACACACAGGCTTAAATATGAACTCTGTTTTGAGTATCAAGTAATGTCATGCAGTCAGTGTGATCCTCAGCAGCATACTGGACTCTGTGGCTACTTTGTTGTTCGAGCATATGGTAGAAACAGGGAGGTTTTCCTCTGAAAGTGAGTTTCTGAGGAGACACAAACTAAACTTGATTCTCAGAATGCAAATGCAACCCTTACTTTTTATACACTCTTTTGGGTTTGCTGCTAGAGTAATTTGGCAGCTGCTCAGAAATGCCATCTACAAAGCAGTATTGGGATCTCTGTCAGTCCGTGACCTGCTCACCTTTTTTTACTTTTTGTTTCTAAATACTTTGTTCCAGAAGAACAAGTCCATTTTGGCTTCCCCTCAATCACCCTTAGAGGTTTGGACAAGTTAAACATAAAAGACGTATTTGCAAATAAATCTGGCCCTCCAGCCACTGCCTAATTTTCTAGCTTTTTTCAGAACTCCTTCTTGTTTGTCTTTGTTTTTTTGATAGTACTATGGATGGAACTGAATATTTAATGCCAAAATCATAAAGAAAATGACTTAACCCGATGCTATTACAGTCTTCATATGGAGCCTGAAATATATATTGATTTTGGTCGTGCCATATCCTATTGCAAACTCACATCTAGTTGTCTGTGGAGAGGAAGAAGAGTTTCCCATCATTATCTTTTCCAATTTGTGCTTTTCAGGCTATTTCTTCAACTGAAAAACTATTTGGATTATTTGTACAATATTTGTCAATTTGCCTCATCCTAGATCAAAACTATTACTTTCTGGGTGTCTAATTTCTTTACATCTCATTTATAATTCTCTCTTCATTGGCATGTGCAGCTCTTTGTAATGTACAATTGCAGATGTCAGTATCATGCTGAAGATTACTTTATTTTCCTGATGAAGATGTTAAAAAAAAATCAGACCTCACACATACACCCCTTACTCCCCAAACATCTTGCAGTTCACTACATGAACTACCTTTTGTTTATACCTTTGGACACTATATTGAAGTTCCCGGTATATGTTGGGGTTTCCAGTATACTGTGAACAATATTCAAGAGGTAGAAACCTACATGAGAACAGGAGCAGCAGTTTGGTAGCTGGCAAAATGAGGCAGCTGGGTTGTAAGCAGCATGGGAGCTTCACAGGGAAATAGCTTGCTGCTGGCAGAGTGTCATTAGTAGCAGCAGGAGGACATAAGGAGTCAGGAGACACAGCAAAACTGCATATGTGATTGGCAGAAGACTGGTGTCAAATGGTCCCAACAAGGCCCACCCCATACTATCATAACCCTCGTTTTGAGTTTCAACTGCGGGGCTGATTATGTTGCTACTGTTAGAATAATTGTGCTCAAGAGAGTTGCCCTATTTGTTCCAAGAAAGCCATAAAGTTGTCCCATTACTTCTGCAGAGCCTGTGTGTTAATGAGGACACCCTGATAACTGGAGCCTGCAAAGCCTCCTCTTGGCACACCTTACAGTGCTTGGCCCCGAGCTTGGGGCAACCTCGGGTGAGAAGAGGTATCCATTAGCCCACATTCAGGGGACAGGTGTTCCATAACAGCAGAAGAAGTTACAGCTTGCTTATCAAAGCCAGTTTGAATTAATTTTTCAAGTAAGATTTTTATAGAATTTGGTTTGAACCTTTAAAAAATCTAGTTTATTACATCTGTTGCCTTCTCTTCAGCCACTCTTTTTATAAATCTGTCCAAAGAGATCATTCCAGTTTGCACAAGAAGATGTATTTTTCATAAATCCATAGTGTTTGTTGTTTGCGGTCCTAGAACCTTCCAGCTGTTGAGTGATTGCTTTGCAGTGTTGGTAGTATTATTCACTAGGAACAGAAATTATGTTTAAAATAGACTGATGGCAAGTATCACTCCTTTTTCTCCTCAAAATTGGTGAGATGTTTGGTTAATAAATGTTCCTTAGTTTCCCACATTTATTATGGTCCTAATTTATAATATAATTATAACTATATCACATTCATTCTAGAAGCTACCAGAATGCAACTAGTATCCCTTGACCCATGCACAGAACGTAAATCTTTTCGTGTGTTTGTTTATGGATTCTTAATCAAATCATTTTCAATCAAGCTATCTGTTTTCAAGGTCACAAAGGCTGTTTTTTTAGAGTGTGATGTGTGTTATATCATGTTAGCTTTCACGCTATTTGTAAATGCAGCAGGAGAGCTGCAGATAGGTTGCTTGATGATTGAAAGGCTTATGTTTTGCTTAGGTGAGCTGGCAAAAGCGAGCAGAACAAAGCAGGCTTGTTGTAGCGAAAGTGCTACAATTAGCGATGTTCAGGAGTTAGGTTATTACGCGAAATTTAAAAGAATAAGAAGTGTTCAGAATATGAGATTTTTATTGAAGTTCATGCACAGAAGTTTTGCTCTGCTAACAGAGCCAAATAGTTGGTTAGTATTTCAACAAATTAAATTCCTGGGAGTTTGCCTGACTTCCTCAGAAAATTTCAAGCTGTTTTAAGGCAGTTCCGTGAGAAAACACAGAAGACTGAATTTCACTAACTTTGGCCTGCTTATAAGGGAAAGGCTTTTAGTTACCCTCAGGCATAAACTTGATTACATAAAGAGTAAGAAATACAAAATGCATCATACTCTTTAATTCTAAATTACATTATTTGATGTAATAAGAACTTCCATACCAGATCAAATCTAAATTAGTTGTCTGACAATAGTAATTCCCAGATGTCTCTGAGGAAATTGTCCAATTCTTCAATCTCCTTTTCCCTCCTCCACAAGTATAATGGATAATTGTAT